AAGCCCATAAGAAGAGAGGAGGCAGGCTTCGGACAGGCCACAGAGAGGCCGCAACAGGCCTGCCAGCTTGAAGGCGGTCCAAAATACCTCACGTCGCCTTCGGAAGCCCATAAGAAGAGAGGAGCCTGCCAGCTGCCGAGGAGCGTTTGAAGGCGGTCCAAAATGCCTAACGTCGCCTTCGGAAGCCCATAAGAAGAGAGGAGGCAGGCCCCGGACAGGCCACAGAGAGGCCGCAACAGGCCTGCCAGCTGCCGAGAGAGGAGGCAGGCCTTGAACAGGCCACAGAGAGGCCGCACAGGCCTTTGGAAGTGCTTGGAAGTGTTCTGCTAGGCTTGGCCAACTGCGAGCGTTTGAAGGCGGTCCAAAACCCATAAGAAGAGAGGAGGCAGGCTTCGGACAGGCCACAGAGAGGCCGCAACAGGCCTGCCAGCTGCCGAGAGAGGAGGCAGGCCTCGGACAGGCCACAGAGAGGCCGCAGCAGGGCTGCCAGCTGGCGAGGCCTCGGACAGGCCTTTGGAAGTGCTTGGAAGGGTTCTGCTAGGCTTGGCCAACTGCTTCACCCTGCGGTGTCCCAGGCGCCTCCCCGCCTAGGCTTTGGCTATAGGCCGGGGTCGGCGGATATTGTACTATGTCTTTCCAAAGGTGGGCTAGATGCTAGAGCGTGCTGGGGTTGAGCCCCACCAAAAATGCAAGGCTTGGTCCTTTCTCCATTGTTCTTCGGGACATGTTGCGGGCCTTGAGCCTTATAATATGAATAGCTTGAAGCACATCGTGTCAGAACCACAAAAGGTCCGCTGATGTCCGCTTCCATGTTGCGTGCATATCTTGCTGTGACCGAAACAAGTATTCAGATTTCAGTATGCATATCTTGTATGCATCCTGTTCTACTCTAAAGCTGCTGGAATCCTAAGACCTAAGATTCGGATGACCTAAGATGACCTTCAGATTCTTGACAAAGCTGTGATGACCGGGTTCTGGGTATATAACTATCCCAGTCCCTCCATGTAGCCAGCCTACAGTGCCTATATTGACTCCCCTGGCACCACCCCCACCCCTGATTCGCCAAAATACGCCAAACAGTCCCATGATTAAGTGGTGCTTTTTGATACAGACCCCCAAATAGATAGAAACATAAATCCCAACTAAAACTGTATTGGACACCGTGCCGATGATCTATTGACCACTGACAGAAATAGAAAAAACACCCTTGCCCTTTTGAAGCGTCTTTGCATGCACGGAAACGGCCTTCTTCTCAGGACTCCTCTCAGCACTGGTGAATTCCATGATCCTTCCGCTGGCGGTCTCGGGCGTCTCTCCGCCCGACGACGACACGGAGGACACGCTCTTCTCGCCCAACGCGGTGGACACCGAGCGGGTCGAGCTGCCGGTGGAGTGTTTGGAGCTCTCGAAACGCCAAAAGGCACCGGTTTGGGAGGGTTTTTTTTGCAGGGTCCGGGTCTTCAGCAGCGATGCAGGGTCCGGGACTTCACACGTTCTACAACTGCTTGCGGTTGTTCTGCGGTTCGGCGATCGCACCCGTGGTTCTTTGGAGTATGAATCCGTGGTTTTAATATCTGTTTGTTGTTGATTTGTTGTTCGGTTCGGTCCGGTCGCTGTTTGGGGGATTGGACCTGGTGACCTGGGTCTCGGGTTGGGATGACGTCAGGCTCGTTAACGAGTGACTCGGGAAGATGAAAGAACACCCGTTGGAAACTGAAGCCCGAGATGTTTGGGGGATATATTGGTCATATATGGGGTCAATTGACCTGTAACAGTCAGTATATAAACAATTATATACAATCCTTTTTTTTTAACAAGGCCTTTACTAGCCATCATCATCCACTGTTACAGGTAATAGTATAGACCCTAATATACATACGTATATTATATATATATATATTATACGTAAGCTCCCAGAATGAATGCCAGGCCATCGTTGGAACTTCACCAATACTGTCACGAGGTGGTGGTTGCGGTTGGTTTGCAGGTGGATAGACAATAGAGTCAGCATCCATGTCGCGGGCCAACCGCGTGGTGCCCCTGCACAGATATATCCAACACCAGAGGTTTCTGCAGGACTCTGTCCAGTCTCACTCTGTCATTCGAAAAGACACTGATCTGAGGGGTCATGTGGCTCCTGGTGTATAATTGATTGTGTTCCTTTTTTCCCATAATGTTGCAGGATGTTGTCGTTGCCAGGTTTCGGCACAGCTTTTTCTAATGCAACCGCGTGTGATGTGCTCAGGTGGTTCAGGGCATGCTCTTCTACGCCTTCGAGCGACAGTTCGTGGTCACCAGCATTGAGGTGAGTACCATCATGCTGCTTGAGGCGCGCGTATCGCAGCGCTGTGCAGGCGCGCCGATCGCGGATCTCCATAGAGGAAATCATAAACCGCTCCTCTCTTCCAGAGATTCCGTGCTTGGTATTCTGGACGGCAATCCACTGAGCGTTCGTATGGAGCTATCATTGATAGATGGTATCCTGGGGCAGGGCACAGTAACTGTCATTCCACTGATCATGCACAAGCACCTCACCACTTAGAGTGGTCCCGTTTGGGCTAGTCAGCTAGTCCATGGTGATGTGGGATGTTGAGCATTCAACATGTTCCCGCCCCCCGCCTGCTTTTCTGTGGGTTAAGATATGCAAGAGACCAGTCGAAAGGATTCTTGCTTGTCCTGCCGCGTCCTGTGTCCTTTTGGCCGAACCGAATCTTCGGCCCTCCTCTTCCACTGGTATCATGCCACTCTTGTAGGTCTCATACCACTGGTCTGTGGAGCTCAGTGGCACCATCTTCACTGCGGTGTCGACAAGCAGTTTGTCTTTTGTTTTCATCTCCTCTGCGCTGATGTCGAAGCAGGCGCGCGGATATGATCAACATGTTTTTTTGTACAGGAAGGGACGCTTATTAGTTGTTTGTGGACCTGAAAGTTATTTTATTGTTTTTTTAATGTTAAACTTTAAACTCGTATTAGTGGGGTCTCACTCGCCATTCTGTTTTTCTTTAAAGGGGTCCTCAATAGTAGTGTTCACTAGTAGTAGTAGTAGTAGTAGTAGTAGTAGTAGTAGTAGTAGTAGTAGTAGTAGTAGTAGTAGTAGTAGTAGTAGTATATAGCAGTAGTAGTATATAGCAGTAGTAGAACATAACGGGACCACCTGTAAAAGAGCAGATGTTGGCTTGCCCAAGGCAAGAGATTCACTCCCGGCAGATCCATTCGAGCGTAAACACGAGACGGTCAACTCTAGTCACCCGAGAATGAGATCACCCGGCCCCATGAGATCACGACTGGAGGTCCTAAAGAATCTGAGGAGGTTATTTTGAAGAGATATATATGTTTATATTTACGTTTACGCTAACTTTTGTTTGCTTAAGTTATGCCGTTACTCCGAAGATTGTGCTGTGCTCAAGGGACACCGACCACATCCTTTACGTACAGTCACGGCTCGTACTCATACTAACTTATTAATATAGAACATAAACAAACATAACTGCATGTATTTATCTATGACCCTTGGCATCCATGTCCTCTCTTTGTCCAAGAGGACATGACTAAGTTGATGGTTTACACTCCCGAAAACTAACATAGACCCTTACAATGGCCCCCCTAATCCCTGGAAGATGGTTTTCCTCTACCATCCAGTGGTTTTCAGGGTCCATGTTAGTCTTCCAGGGTGTATCCAGTGCCCAGCATCGTTCGATCTGGAAGACCAGAGCAGCCTTCACCAGGTCGACCCAAGGCACCATTGGCTAGAATGGAAGGGTTTGGATCAAACACACTCTTTCCAAGGTCTATCATTTTTAGGAGAAGGTATATAGCTGATAGTAGCTGACTCTCTCACTCCTTTTTCAATAGCTTCAGGTCTTTCAGGAGTCCATGGTCTTCATGGCCTGCAACTGCATTGCTCTACTCGGAGTGACTCGAGATTCCATGCAGCTGTACCATACCCTACCAAGTCTCCCCATAACATTCCCAAGTGACCGCACCACCAACTGGCAATCCCTCATGCAGCTTCACGGAAAAGCCAAGAACACAAGAAAAAACATATTGTCTAGATACAATTACGTTTACTTATATAATATGTCATGTGTTTGTTCAAGAGCTCTAACTTCACAGAGCTTGGAACTTGGAAGGGTCGATTATCAAGAAATCCTCGGTGTTCGTGACCATCTTTTGCTGACAGAAATGCTAGGATTGTCACAACATGTTGATCTATATACATATCAACAACATTACAATACCAACCATAAAGGAGTGTTTTCTTTAAAAAACAAAAAAAACATGTTGCACAGAGAAAACACATCTAGGTGATCTTTCTCTTCGACTTCCGGCAACTGGGGGCTTTTGGCCTTTTGCTGGCAGACGCCTTGGTCTACGGCTGCGCCACCGTGTCTAACGGCCTGGCGGAGGGCTGGGCCTCGCGCGCGGCCGAGGAGAAGACGGACTTCAGCACCGAGGCGAGCGACAGACAGCGGCGACGGACGCACCGTGTCGTTGGATCGTTCGAGGTTGACTGGTGGGGTGACCGGAGAACAGGTCGAATTTGAGGTGTTTTGGAGGTCTTGGACTTACCAGTGGAGTGAGGTTCAATTTGATGTCTGATTTTTTAACAGTCAATTCGAGGTGTAGCCTCCAGTATGTCACTTACAGTGGGCTGTAGGTCCAAAGGTCCCCAAAGTCCAATGCTTTCGGAGGAACATTACAGATTTAGTTATGATAGATTTAAACTATAGTTCTGGCTTGTATACTTTATATTATGCACTTTTCTTATAAAGCCAAGACTTGCATTTGACAGGTCTACCGCACTTGGAACATGGCGCTGGTGTGTGGCGCCCGGTCTTTGGCGCCCACGGTGGCACGGAGCCTGCTGGACTACGGGGGGCGGAACGTCTATGCGGCGCTGCAGCTGGTCATGGTCGCTCTGGGCACCCTCACTGTGACGGGGCCGAACAAGAGGGGGGGGCCGAACAAGAACATGATGGGCAAATGGGATTTGGAAGAAGGCGAGTCCCCTTCTTGTTGGGAAGAAGTCATGAGATTTAGTCTGTCATGAGAAAGCTTGGAGGATGCATTGTCCGGGCAATGCTGAGGAAAGGACAAATCAATCATCAACCACTTGCTGCCAAGAGTGCATAGATCATGGTATGGTATCAGAACAATCCAATGGGTCACCACTACTGGAAGGTAGTTCAGCCGACCCGCCTTCCTTCGTCGAGAAATCCTGATCAGGGCTACCATGTCTGAGCGGACCGCCTATTCGATTAAGATGGTTTAAAGAGAACTGCTGAGGTCTACAAAACTGTGGCATTGGTGTGGGAGTTGAATTCGGCGCCCTTGAACCACAAGAAGCCAGCTGAGAAGCTGAGTTGAGGCTGTTTGCATGGCAAGACGATTGTAGATCATTACTTCACCTTCCTGGTCTTAACCGTCTTGCACCACCAGAAGTTGGTTTGCCTGGGTTTGGTTAATTGTTTCCACTTCAATAGGTTCTGTTATTCTTTGGAACCTCCTCCTACTGAGCAAACCAGCCTTCTTAATAGGGGGGCCGTGCTGGGTGGATAAAAGCCATGGCGTCTGACCCAAGACTTTATCCGGGTGCCAGCCTCTGAGCTACCTAACAAGGGGGTTTGTCCCTTTAAAAAAGTCCACCCAAGAACACCTAGGGGCTGGAGCCACTTCTTTTTAGCCACCGTGGGGGTTGACCTATTCCAGCCCCTTCCAATGGGTCAAACCTGGCTTTGGTTGACCTTCTCTGGGGGGGAGCCAAGCAGTCAACCCTTGAAGCTGCTTTTTGGCCTGAATTTGAACATCAGCCCCCCCAAATTTATCCACGTGATCTGGCTGAGAAAGGGTCAATCCCCCCCCAAAAAAAAACGTGTACAGGCCCTAGGTCCCAGTACAACCGGGTACTTCCCTACCTCGCTCCGCTCGAGTTGTATTAGTCTTCAGAACCGTCATATCAGTGGTCTACACGGGCCTTCTTTGGCGCGCTCCGGCAGCAAAAAGGCGTGCCAAAGGATCAAGGCGGATCAAGGATAGAGGTCGGCAGCTTAGCACAAGTGTGTGGTGGTGGTGGTGGTGGTGGTGGTGGTGGTGGTGGTGGTGGTGGTGATTGCATATGAGAGTGGAGAAATGTGGAGAACCGCCAAAAAGACGCTTCTGTATCCTTAATAAATATGAGGACCGAATCTGCGGGGCGAAGTCCAAGCCCAAACCCCAGAAGGAGATGTTCTGCATGTCTTTCGCTTGCGACTCGGGCTCGAGATGACCATTCCCAGGCCACGCCACGGGACGAGGCTCAGACGGGCCACGGGACCACCGGACCGGTGTGGACGTGGCCGACAGGAGCGGAGGGGCAAAGTAGAAGGTAAGGGCCCTGAGGTGCGAACTTGGACGGATCGCGAGTTGGAGCAGTGCTTCTTTCTTTGGCAGGTGGTGTTTTCTTTTAGTTTTAGTAGCTTAATTAGCTTGGGTCGATCTGGAGCCCTGCCACCTCTCATGAAGTCCAAGTCGGAGTCGGAGGCTCCGCGAGCTTCGGGGCCTAACCAGGTCCTGGGGTCTTTTTTGGTTGGGATCGGTGGAGTTTCCTTCCTTTAAAGCTTTTGGGCGGTGAAGAAACAGCTTTGCAATGGTCCATGTTGATTTTTGATGTTGTTCAATTTTCTGATGGTCGGCCGGAGCGTTTTGTAGCTGAAGGCAGGGTCATTTTCCTGGCAGGTTCATCGTTGGGCGTGGACCCCATAAGCTGTGTTTCGATATGTGACTCAAGTGGTCCGAGAACCTCATACAGGGCACACTCCATTCCGCAAGCGAATTGTTTTTGCAGAGCTTCAGAGGGGCTGAATTGGAAGTGGAAGGACCACTACCTTTGGGGGGCTTTAAAGATCAACCCGTTGTGTGACAGGAATGGTGCTGAGGCCTGCAAGAAGAGTAATTCTTCAAGAACAAAAACCATCACAAGCCAGCATAGCAAGGCTCAGAAGTTTGGAAGAGGACTTGGTTCATACTGGTCGTGGGGAGGCAGAGCCTGTTGAAAACTGGAGAACTTTTCTCGGATGCTTTTTGGGTCCAAAAGGTATGCACAGCCACATACAGCCACCCTGCTCCAAGGTTGAGGCTCCATCCTTACCTAGGTTAGGTGGTCGTTCTTGTTACTTTTTTACCGCTGGTGGAATCGAAAAGGGCGAGAAAACCAACTCAATGCAGGTCTGGGCAGGGCTTCTGCGACCGGAAAACTCAAGCACACTTTGACTTCAAAGTTGTGCACAATGTGCAAATACCGTTGAAGAAGAAACACCATAAACAACACCCTCGAATTTCTTAGAGCGATGGATAATTCTTCCCAGAACAGCTGAGCCGAAATGGCGCAAAAAGATATTGAAAGACCCAAAGCAGCACAAGAACCATTCGAAAGACCCTTGGTCCAACTTTGAAGTATGGGCTGCACATGGCTGCACGATGTTAAGCGATGTTGAACCATTCACACAATCCAAGGAGAAGATAGGAGAAGGTCTTCCATACACCCACACCTCTTCAGGTGACTCCCCTGGTTGCGACACCCGCCGTTGCCTCGGTCGGCTCTGGAGCCCCAGGGACGTGTCGGGTCGCCGTGTACGGTCGCCGTACGGACGGCTGCAGGGTTTTCCGGAGGGAATGCTCGGTAACCTCGTCGAAGCCCGGATGCCCTGGCAGTTTACTCTCTGAAACCCGGTCCTCTCTTCCTAGGAGCGCTTTGTACCCTGGCAATTCTGTGGAATTGTTGATCGTTTGAGGATTGTTTGAGGTGCTTCTTAGGTGAAACATTGAGAAGCTGAACCCCCCCGCCATGGGCATTGTGGAAGATTTGCCATGGCTGACATAGACCCTAGTGTAGACCCTATTTTGTATAGAATGGCCGTAGGAAAGGTCATGTGCCGCTTCGCGGGGGTCACCTACCAAAAGGCCACGCTTCCCATTTTTTCAGCAAGGATACAGCATAGAGCCTTCCGGAAGAGTCTCGGTTTGTACACCCGAGTCATTCAGCTGATTGAAACACTACGGAATAATTATGAATTGTCGTTTTTTAGATGTGTTTTTTTTCGTTCGGGCTGTAGGGTGTAGTAGAGAGTTCTTTACTACTTGATCTATATTAGTCCGTTTTGGCCCAGTGGGCGCAAACCTGCTTTGCTATGGAGTTCCGGAGGTCCGGAGATTCGAAACCAGCTCCCTCTCAACACGGATCAACTTCACCAAGAGATCCAACGTGTAAACACGTGTAAACTGTAAACAGGTGTTGACAAGGATGGGTGAGTCCATGTTCAAGAACAAAGATTCATTATCCAGCAGTCACAAAGGGGTGCGATCCATGGAGGTTTGGGGTGCCCACTATCCACTCACTTAGGGACTAAATGCCACTCCTTTGTGACTCCTGGATGACAAACATATGCTTGAATTCTTGAATTCGTCTTACTGCATCACTGCCAAGCGCCACCGGCCAGACCCAAAACGCTGCGAACGCACCGCGCGTGGTGACCGAGGTGACTGGTCTCGCCTCGACGGTCTGAGATGCCTCGACCGCCGCGGTACGCCTCGCAGTGTCAGGGAGGCCCAGCTGGTTCCGCCGTCGCAGGGACATCGCGCCACCGGGCAGGACATCGCGACCGGGGTGAAGACTGGGTGAAGGACAGGAGGATTCGGGGAGGGTCTTTGTGGTGTTGGATTGACCGGGACTAAGGCCGGGACGCGTGACGCCGCGGCGAACACGCCACGCCGAAAAGGATGAAGACGCGTTCGCCTCACCTGACTCGCCGATAGTGGGAAAGTGAGAATGATTCCTAGACTTGTTGAATCCACGCTGCATGATCATTTCTATGGGTGAGAGTGATTGAGAATGAACACCATCCCTGACGCATTCATGAAGAAACATGTAACATGCTCCAAAGTAGGTGAGCACTGAAACTCCAGGTTTGCAGGACGCCCAACATGTGGATGGCAGGCAACTAACAAAGGGAAACAGGGTAACCAAGCATCGAGGCCTGCATGGATGGCGCCAGTCCCTTTGCAAAACAGGGTTGGCGCGCCTAGTTTGGTGGTCCCGGGTTTGATAGGATTGGCGCCAGTCCCCTAGTCTGGTGGTCCTTCTAGTGGTCCCGGGTTTGGATGGGTGACCAAGGCCATGGTTTGATAGGATGGTCCCGTGGACCAAGGCCGGCGCTTCGTCCAGCCGTACCAGTCGCCCCCGCAGCGCGGGCAGCGCCTGGGCGGCGCTCGAGGCGGCGAAGGCGCAGGGCGAGGCGGGGGCGGGTCGGGGATGCGGGGGTCGGGGTCGGGGGGTGGTGGCATTGGGGGGTGGTGACCATATAAAACAGCATCATATGGATAGGGTGGGTCAGTGGGTCTGGAATGGGTTTTGGCATGGCTTGGGTGGAGTCTTTGTTTATCCATGTGGGTGCATTGTTCGGGATCTGTGTTAATGATTTGGTCCACTTCCGTGAGCAAATCCAAGAACAGGATGAACTCCCCCCCAACCAATTGAGATCTATTTGCCTGTGTTGGTCTATGTTTTGACAGTTTGTTTGCTAGGTAGGAGGTCGTTTTCCAAGTCTCTATGTTCCTGAGGAATGCGAGATCCAAACTCTGCATGTCAGATTCAGATGCAGATCTGGGCGTTTCCGGCTACTATTGCTGAGGCATTGGGGCCTTGTGATGGCCCAGTGATAAGAGCTGGGACTGTTCACTGGTTGGCCGTCTTTTAGTGTTGGACTCCATGCCTCAGGGTGGCGGGCAAGAGCAAAGAAAGGCAAAACATGTGAACCAAAAGAACGTCAGATGTTTCAAAACCCAGAAGTTCGACAAGCCCACATTTGACCCCTTTTCAAGCCTTTTGACCTTCCACAAAGAAGCTACCACGAAAGGAGAATCAAGGAGCAGTGGAGCAAAGCCGGCCATAGAACAGATGCTTTTCACATCCTGTGTTTGTGATGACTTTCTGCAGAATGTGCAATTCGCAGTTTTGCCACAGTTTTGCCGTTGGAATGCTTTTCCTGAGACATTCTGAGACACGAGTGGCTTAATCTTTGACTGGCAGGATCAACGAACTTTGCACGAGGTTTTTGCAGGATGTTGTAAATAGTTCCCGACAGGATTGTGTTGTTTGTGGCACGGCCATAGTCAGGGGGACATCCTGTGACTGTGCCTTTTTTTGTTGTTGTAAGTGGTTTAACATGTTTTAAGTATATATAAATGTCTCAGCAGTTTGTTTTCCATGTTCATCATCCAGGACCTTCAAAGTGACCTCTTTGGAGTCTGTAAGTGACCTCTTCAGGGACTAAGTGACCTCATTCTGGGATCTCAAAAGGTCACTTTGAAGGTCCTGGATTAATTCATTACTT